AAGCTTGTCACGTGGCTTCTTTGAAGTGTGACGTCAAAGGTATCTGGTAGACGATGTCGGCGACGTCACACTTCAAAGAAGCCACGTGACAAATGCAAGCTTCACTGGGTCAGTCTACTGAGGAAGACCAGAGTGACTGGTAGAAAGCTCTAGGTGAGAGAATTTTTTGTGTTGGACCAAAAGTTTTAACTTTAAACATGTAACTACCAACACAGATGAACTTTCATGATAGTATGTATTACCTACGTATACAATACAGGTTCACAATCCTCTACCACAATTTAACCGTATTGCACGATTGCTTGAGTGATCTGTTTAAAGTACTCTACAATGCTTCTGCACTTATGTACAAAACCGCTAGGTGGCACAATTACACGGTACCCTGGAAGATATCACACAAAACATTCACAACATTGATATATTGGACAAAAATCGCAACATTTATACAGGATATTTTTGGCTACTTGAGAAATTGTATCTGACATATCATGTTCACAGCTATATTTCATGTCATTTAATTATTAAAATGTACAAGGCGTTGTTATATTTGTTCAAATGAAAGGAAACGTTGTATACAACGATGTCTTTACGCAATTCTTGGTTACGATTGTCACATACGCCACTACCTAATACTTAATTTACAAACGGTCACGGTGTTATTGACCATTCAACTGCGCTATCTAGCGATCGACTTTAGTACTGCACCCTCTACATGGTGCTGAAACGCCATCGCTAAAATAGTCTCTGAGCCATAGTCAGACAATTGTCGACCTTCTTTGTTGTAACGGTCTGCATTGATGTTTTCCTTCCATGAAAATTGCTTCTCGTCACTACTCTAACTAACTACTCTAAGTCGTCATGATTTAATTCTCGCTGTTTCTTTGCTTTTCTATAAATTCCGTATAAACTCGCTACCATTTATTGTTACACGTATAAACTTGAATATACGACATAACGTCCCTCTACCACTACTCTCTACACATTAATTCTACTTTTTTTACAACTCATTCGTATCATTCCATACTTTGCTACAACTGTAGCCCGTGTCAAAGTAGCCTCTATCAGGCTTCGAGAGGCGGCTGGAAACAGTAGAAATTGGCCAAATAGACCAATAACATAGCGCGAGAGAGTACAGTGTTATGTTATCTGTCTATTTGGCCAATCTTTACTCTTTGCAGCCGCCTCTCGAAGCCTGGTATAGGCTTGTGTCAAAATATTGACAAAATTCCGGCCAGCCATTTTCAAAGTTTACTGCCTCACCTAGAATGCCGCCTTGGTCGCCTTTTAGTCCAAGCTTCTTTACTGAGCCAAAATATGCCTTTTTTGTGGGTAAACGTTACCACAAATCGGCCCCAAAACCTACCGAAAACGGTTTGCGCGCGCGTTCTCTGTACAAAGATTATGTGTTGTTTGGCGGAGGCGAGACGTGGTTTCCGGATGCAGGACTGCCGTCGTCCGCTAGTTGGTGCCACTGAGCCACGGGCTTGCGCGGGTTGGCCAGCATCTCCGTCCAGTGCTCCCGCCCCGGGCCTGCGCAGTTCTGCCCTACGTCACACATCCCGATCAGCTCACTGTGACCAACGCTGGAGGGCAAAAGTCCTGCATGTTAACGTCATAATTTGCATACTCGGGACAACTGAAATGAACCCGTTACCGCATCCAAACCAACTGAAAACATTTTCTTTTTATTCTTGACATATCTTTGTAATTGCTGGCATTTATATTTTTTTCTTTTTATTTCCATGACAAAAATTGCCTTCATGCTTCGTTTTTATCCTGAATAGAGCTCCAGAAGTGATGCTATGTTGTTGCGTTTGGTGGTGGTCAGGGGGGTCAGAGGTCATTCTGGCCATCTTACGATGAGTTTGTGCGGATTCAAAAATAAGAATTTTGGGCAAAATGAACAATTTGGAGGTCGAGCTACCCTGTCAATGCGAGTTTTCAATAGTTTAATACCCATGATTTTTTACAGTTCATTTCTTAGCATATGTTTCAATGGAAGCTGGAAATGGTGGGCTGTGAAGGACAGAAAAATCAAGGTCATCTTTTAATTAGAAACATGGCCGAATTTCTGAGTAATCCACCATGTAATAAGAACGTTGCAGATAAAAGTAGATATGGTGTATATCAGTAATCCTATGAATGTGTAATAATCCTCAACAATCGTATCGGAAAATTGAATAATAGATTTTTCATGTCGGCACATAGACTTGCCTATCTTACAAGGTCATTACTGAATAAAATGTGCCGTATTCTGTATCAAAGCACAATGAATAAGTGGAGATACTAGTCGATCTTTCTAGATTTATTTCTTAACATTTTGTTCTTTTTAAACTTTCTTTGTCCATTTTCTCCACGCCATCCCATGGTAAGTGGTGTTGGGTTACATAATGTTGCAATTTTATAGTAGGAGGGATTTAGACTCCTGTCACCATATATGTGAATTTGTTTGAGTAAGAATTAACAGAGCAGACCATATGCGAAGGTAAATATTGTGCATTTGCTTTGCAAATATTACCTTTCTACATGTGGTCTCTCTCTGTGTCCCTGCCTCTCTCCCTGTGCGTGTGCCTGTTCACGCGCGCTTGTGTGCACGTGTGTATTCGTAGGTGGATAGCATTCAGCACCAAGGGCAAGACCTGGTATACTAGTATTCGCGTCTCTTTCTCTTTTAGTCTCTCTCTCTCTCTCTCTCTCTCCTCTCTCCCTCTCTTTCATCTTTCTCTCTCTCCTCTCTCTCTCTCTTTCTCTCTCTCTCTCTTTGTTTTTACTCTTTGTTGCAGCAGATTCACGAAGCCTGGTAGAGCCTAGGCTGACTTACCGGTCGAAGTCTACCACAGACACGTGCAGACTGACTTGATCCATGTTCTCAGGCGGTACGTCAAACACGATAGCCTCGTTCCACACGGGGTTCAACGTGTTCTTCTTCACGGACGTTTTTCTCTTCTTCAGCTTCTTCCCTTCGCACATCAGGGACACCTTCACGAAAGGATCTATGGAAGAAAGCATGAAACATTCTTAAGATCACACCATTAATTTGTTGGTTCGCGGATTGGCCCGCTTCATTTTTTTTCTGATATGCGAAAACAAAATAAGCCTTTCAAGTTGATGTTGAAGGAAGTCCCTTCTCTTTAGAGTTGTTACAGTTTTTTCCATTTATCAAAACAGTGGTTTGTTTAAAGTTTGAAATCTATTGTTTGAATTACAAGCCAGTCTGGTATCTTGACTTCGGGGCTATCATAGGATCCTTAGGTTTGCTTTTATTTCTAAAAATTTGCTTCATATTTTTTCCGAAAAAAATCCGAGATCCACCAAATCAAATGGTGTGGCCTAAAGGCTCTTAAGGCGATTTTAGGGCATTGGATTTCAATGATCAAATGCTTATAGTAATGTTTTCAGTGTACTAAGTTGAATAAAATGAGGGTTAGATATAGCGAATTATGAATACGCTTTAAGTTTGAAATGAAGATGAAAATGAGCTCCGAAAAGGCAGTATCAGACAGATTTCCTCTCCCGGATTTAATGTTTTGTTTTGCCGCTCTAAAATTGTACCGGATGCCCTTAACAAGGCAAGTAGGTCAGCAGACAAGTAGGACAGCAAAATTACATCTCTCATATCAGAATACGTAAAACTATTTTATCAAGAATATATCAACGATGTTATTAATGATTTTCTTAATCTTAATTAAAAGTCTGTCTGTGTCTCCAATGATATCAAATTAGATAGCTCTAGCCTACTGTGATTTTTTCCGGGGGCCACAAGACCCCGGCTTTTAGTGTCGCGTTCATCATTCATTCGATGGTTGGATGTCGGGATATTACCATATATATGAACAAAAAACTGCTTGTAACCGCTAATAAACTCTCACAAAGTATCTCTTCTTCGTTAGAAAAAGTTCATGATACATTGTACTTTTGTATCTAAGTCCAGTCTAATTAGCATTAGTCCAATTCAAATCACCAAGGTGACCAATTTGTGTCACTCGCACCACCCAATAAGCTATTTTGGCCCCGCCAGCTTTTTAAAAAGCATTTCTTGACTTTCTTGTTTTATGCGAATTACGTGCAAAAACACACACACGTATGAAAACCACACGCTGTGTCTGTGTCTGTCTCAAAATAGCAGGGGTAACGTATCAGAAACCTAAGCCTTGAGGCGTTTATCTTAATGAAAAGTCAAACAAAAATAGTAGAGACTAATATGTGGAAACGTATTCTTTACAGGAAATTGCCGATATGTTTACATTCAGGGAGGATATACACACGTATAGAGAAATATTGTCCCGTGCACGTTAGAGAGCACTAGTTATAGTGGTGGCATTGGTACTGCCTGGTAGAGACTATAAAGTGACCGGAAGTACTCATTGACTGACCGGAAGTGCCGGTGATGTCCATGGCCTTGAGGTTCCTGGCCTTGATGATAGTGAGGGTCAGTCGGCCCGCTGTCGGCAGGTAACACAGGGAGAACATGATCTCACCAAGGTCAACCTTCTCCTGGAACACAGAAGTAAGGTGTAAGGCTATTGGCTGATAACAATCACGTGACTGCATGACGTAATTTAGCATCCGCCATGTTGGTGGAGAAAGGCCGCCATATTGGTGGAAAGTGGCTTCACCAATTGTAAGCTAATACTATGCTCTCTCTCTCTCTCTGTATGTGTGTGTATGTGTGCCTCTATTTTAGACTTTCCAAACATATTCTTGGAACAACTTACATCAACTGTATGTAACAAAACGATATTGCTCCATTATCTAATACATGAAAGGCTAGTCCAAAGTCTACGTGGATGATTACTCACTCAAAGTACAAAGAAACATCTCTCCATAATAATTTTTACAAATATTTCAAAGACTTTCATAATCCGGCGCACATAACATCGCCCCAGGCCGCACAGTTAATGTATGCATCATGTACAGTAACTAGTGGGTTGAGCTCCGACGTTATATAAGATGCCTGTTGATAGAGATAGAGTCTTTTGTCAGTCGGGATTTTCCACGAGTTCTTACCGGCTTATCTTTACTGCTCCTGGAGGCTTGCTCTGGGACTGATACGGTAAGATGTACTGATACACGGTACGGAGAGGTATCCATAAGAACCTCATTTATCAGAAACTAAAGCGGGATGGGCCAAAGATGTCTGACAGTGTTTGCCGTTAGGCCACACCAAGTAATAGTCATTTTTATGGATGACGTCCACGCGCGGATTGATTTTGACCTGTTTCAAGAAATAAAGACATCCCGCTTCCTGTAATGCTGAGATCAAATTCCAAACCGGGGCCCGGCAGGGCAGTCTTATGGAACGAAAAGTACTACATAAAAGACAAGGAAACACAGAAAAGTTTTCGATAAAAATCATGGGCACTATTTCTGTATATTCTTGATATGAATTGTTAGTTTTTCGTTCATACAAACAGCCCGGCCGGGCCCCGGGTTGGAAATGTGGTATAACTATGACCAAAGAAGTCACGGCATGTGTACAGTGTTTCAAATCATAGAATTGGAAGAGGTGATGATAAGAAAGAAACACGGCAGGACGACAACTGCTGTTCCAATGGTTTTCGTCACGAATAAAAGACTTGTTGGTTGTTACAGTGTTCTCTCATTTTATTTGTGTCCTAACATTTGTCGTCTCAAATCTAAGCATCTTGTTTTTCGGCCCCCTTTTTTTATTTGCACTCTCGCATTATATTTCTGAAATACATAATTTTGAACTTCGTAGATCGATTACAAAGATGAGAATTTCTAGCCATAAATTGAATATAGAATTAGGAAGATATAGAAAAATCCCTCGCGACCAGAGGTTTTGTCCATTTGGCATTCTGTCCCAATGATATTGAAGACGAACAACATTTTATTTTGAATTGTACACTATATAACGATAAACGCACAAAGCTGTTCAACCTTCTCTCCGCCTGCTCAACAGAATTTGTTACATTTCTTGCTATAGATAAATTTAATTTCATCCTAGAAGGTAATAACCCTTACTGTGTACAAGTAGGTAAAGATATCAAAGAATGTTTAGACCTTAGAACAAGTAGTATTAGTTGACCAATCTATTGTTTTGTACGTAGGATATTTTCGCTGTACCTATGTGTATTTGTCTGTATGTCTACATGTCTTTTAATAGACCTTACGAAAGTCGCTGTACTTTTGTTGCGTCAATAAAGTTCTCTATTTAGGGTCTCCAGAAGACGTCATCCATAACATTTACTTGTTGTGGCCCGACAGAAAAAGACAAATTTCCGGCTTGGGCCTCTACTCCGATGAGCCGGTTTTAATTGCCCTGAACGATCCTCAGCGAGGCCGAGCGTATTTCCGACGTTTAACGTAACACGGTGTCGTGTTGCCGGCTAGACGGTGTTTATCTCTGTGAGTGTGGGACACAGTCTGGGGAATCTGCGTCATTAGGCATTACTGTGCTTCCTCTGCACGGAACAACACAAAAGTCTCGTATTCGTATGTACAACATTTAGACCACGCTAATTTTATTACATGGTTCTCAGTTTTTGCCCCCCCCCCTCCCATACCCCCCCAAAATTAGATTTATTTCATACCTTTGTGAAGTATTGTTAGTTGTTGTGATTTTTTTTACAAATTATCTAACGTGTTCTTAATTTTTCGTTGATTCTTTGCATGCTCCATTGCAATTGTTGCTTAGTCCTAACCAACTAGAAGAACATTATGACCTCCAAATTGACCTTGTTTCCTCCAAGTCTGCGGGAGACGACTTTACCTCCAATTTGACCTTCCTGTCAATCTGCGATTACACCGTCTCCTCCTCACTTTTTATGACTAATGTTTTCAAACAACTACAGACAAACAACCAAAACAACTACAGACAAACAACCAAACAAACCAAAATGTGAGCAACTTGCTAAATTCGAGAGCTTGCCAATGTCACTGACGAAAGGTAGTGGATGCTACCTGAAACGTCTGACCATTTCCAAAATCATATCCAGTTGCTTGAGTAACTGTTTTTTTTTGGCAAAATATAAGCATTCTGAGGTTGATAGGTGCCTCGACATTTCTCTTTTTTATGTTTACGGAAGGAAAACATATTGTTTTTGCTACGTTTCCTCTTCTTCTTCTGTTCCAAACACTAACCTCTGACCTGGCCTTATTTGTTGACGTCTGTCACCATGGTAACTGGTGTTGGGTTACACCATGTTGCAATTTCATAGCATAAGAGATTTAGACTCCTGTCTGACCATACATATGAACGTATTTGAGTAAGAATTAACATTGCAGACCATATATGCGAAGGTAACGTTATGCATTTGCTTTGTAAATGTTACCTTTCTAGTCTTTATTCAAATCATTATTTAAAAAGACAGCAACCACACAATTCTTTTGATCTGTCCCAATGTTGTACAGAGAATGGTAGTTGATGTTTGAACCTGAAGGCAAGCGGAAGAGGCTTACATTTCAAGAGAGCACTAGCCTGGTTTTATTTCAAAAACATAGCAAGGGGTATATCACTCAGCGTGTATACCAGTAATAACAAACGACGTGCACAAATTATCTACTTTCTTTTTCTCCCTAACACATGCCTGCTGCATTGTTATCAAGTCATTATTTTTAAAATGATTGTGTTAGCCGAATCAGTGATGTGTGAATAGCGACTCAATTTGTGCCATTATGTTGTCATACTGACTTCATCTTTAATGGTTAGAACGTGCGGTGGCATCGTAATATTTGGCATATATTTTATGGGGTTGCGATGTCGTAATGTGTAATAATTGCGTGTGTCAAAGACGTGAATGTAAGATTGGAAAATGTCCATTTGTTTTCGTTAGAGAATTAAAATGTAAAAGGCATAGTTGAATATAGAAAGCTTCACTATAAAGCAATTATTACAATAAAATTTTAAACATTGTTATCATAAAAAAACTTTATCGTACCGTTTGGAAACATTTTTCTTTGAAATGTTTTAGTTACAATTTTATATGTGGTTTTAACTTAACTATAATTGATATGAATAAATAGTTAACATAAATAATAGTTTTCTAATAAATAGTTAGAAAAATTAATAGTAGATAAATTGGTAGAAAATTTACCTTTATGCTATTAGATGCGTTGAAATATTAATATTTTCAAATATGGTTTCGGCGAGTCATGGTTTGATACGGAACGTTAGTGATTTGAGTATCATAACATATCAAATATCATAACAGCATTATACAGACAATAACGTGTACGTACAGCCTACGTCATACGTACCAAACATAGATTCTGAAGAATTGTAAGGGCCTTTTCTTCTGTACGTGTTTATGTCAGTAGGATTCGAGATTCTTGCTAAGAACTTTACT